GATTAACTGCTCGAGTATGTGGATCCGATAAGGCCAAAGACTCCACATCCAGGGATAAGAAAGCCAATTAATCTGGGGAAAGGTCTCCTCCCCACTATGGAAAATACCCGAGGTCTCGCATGGAATCACATTGCCACTGCCTCCCTGCATACATTCCCTGAGATTCAGCTCCCTTTGGAATTGATTTATGTTTATATATATATATACCTATATACATTTTCTTGTACAGAAATGTTAAATTCTCAAGATTAAATATCTTCAGTTGGGGAAAATCAATTTACTTCTTTGAGAAGGCTAGAATTGAAAGTCGTGAGCCTGAAACTTACTTTCTTGCCAATTTCACTGATAAAAAAAGCCTCTCCGTCCTGGCGTGTCGCCCTGTATCAGCTGCTCCAAACGATTCCATTAATTGATTGGGTGACTGGCCCTGAAACAGCGCTTATTAAGCTTCCCACTGGAGCTGGGGGACAGGCAGGACTGCATTGGAGCCATAGTGATGAGGGACTGTCCCCTGGGGTGGTGACTACTCAGGCCAGTGATGGAACTCAGGCCTCTGGTGACCCAGCCCAGGAAGGTGGGAGAGGAGGCTGAGATTCCAGAAAGGGCCCTGGGTGTAACCCTCCCTGCCTCAGAGGTACCAGAAGGAACTTTCTCAGAGATGTACTCGGAATCATGGAATATCACTCAAGGATGGGACAGAATCTAAGGGGAATCAGAAACCATGAGTGGGTTTTGTTGAAAATGGGGATCCCAAGATATGAGACAACACAGGAGGTGGTCTTTCTAGGGAGGCAGGTTTCAGGCTCCTCTGCCTGCAGGTGATGGAGGTAGTGAATTTGTTGACACTGAAGCTAGGAGAGCAGAAACTATTGAAATCAGTATCATAGCCAGCTTCCTGCTTTATTGTTACTTTTCATCTGACTGGCCCAAGTTCTCTAGTGTCCTGTCCCTTCTTCCTCATCCTGGTCCTTTACCTGCTACGGGCGTCTCTCCTCAAAGCCCATCAGCCCCAAAACCAGTCCCTCCCCCTCCAGCCTCCAATGGAAATTTCTGTCTACATTTATGATGGGGTGTTCCTGGGAAGAGCATATGTTCTGATGTCTGGCAGACCTATGTATAGGAGGAACTGGGTGTTGGGGTGTTAAGGAAGAGGATTCAGGGAAGGATTTCCAGAAAGAGGAGAAGTTCTCCCCTTCTGACACAGAAGGAATGGGACAAGGCTCCCTAAATGGTTCATTGTCAAGTTACTGATGCCTGATTGTGGGGAGAATGGGTGGGTAAGATGGGTGAGGTGGAGGGACGGATGGATGGTTGGTGATGGGTAGGTGGATAAGAGAATGGATAGGTATTGGATGAATGGATAAATAGGTAAAAGACTGGGTGGATAGTTGTATAGTTAGTAGAATGAATTGGTGTGTGGATAGTGTGTGAGTGAATAGGTGAGAATACGAATGTGACAAATGAGAGAATAGATGGGTGGTGGGTGGATGGACATGTAGATGGATGAATGGATGGATACGTTAGGAGATATAAGGGGAACCCCGATGGCCTCATCCACTCCTAATTCCCTCCTCTAGGAGAAGAAGGAGAATTTGGAAAGCAGGAGGGACTGGGATGGAAAAGGAGCTGAGGTGCTGAAATCACTGATGAGAGAATAGTATTTAGTTATTATATGGCTTGGTCTTCCCTGGTAGCTCAGGTGGTGAAGAATCTGCCTGCAATGCGGGAGACCTGGGTTCAATCCCTGGGTTGGGAAGATCCCCTGGAAGAGGGTATAGCAGCCCACTCCAGTATTCGTGCCTGAAGAATTCCCATGGCCGTTCCACGGGGTCACAACTGAGTGACTAAACACAACACAATATATGGTTCAGTGGTAAAGAACAACCCGCATGTCGATACAGAAGACTCAGATGTGGATTCAATCCCTGGGTGAGGAATATACCCTGGAGAAGAAAATGTAAACCCACTCCAGTATTCTTGCCTGGAAAATCCCATAGACAGAAGAGCCTGATGGGCTACAGTCTATGGGATTGGAAAAGAGTCGGACATGTCTTAGCAACTAAACTACAACAAGGAACCAAGAAAGCAGAGTGCCTGAGGTCATGTGTCCCTGGCAAGCAGGAATGACTGGACCTGGATAATCTTATTAGAGGAATAGTTGCAACGGATTATCTGAGAAAGCAACTATATTGGGAATAAAAGTAGCTGGTGTCAGCATGTGTGTAAGAAAATATATCAGTTACCTACTGCTGCATAACAAATTATCCCAAACTTAGTGTCTTAAAACAACAATATTCTGACCTCTTAGTCTGTGGGTCGGGAATCAGCACGGCATAGACAGGTCTTCTGCTAAGGGCCTGTCACAGGCCAGGGTAGAGGTGCTGGCTAACGCTGCAGTCATCTCCAGATCCAGCTTCCAAACTCACTCAAGTAATGGTTGGCAGCCTTCAGTTCCCTCTAGGCTGTTGGACTGAGGGCTTCCGTCTCCCCTCTGACTGTTGGCTAGAGGCTGCCCTCTGATCCTTGTCATGTGGACCCCTCCACGGGGCAGCTCACAGCACAGCAGTGAGCTTTCGGCAGAGCAGCAAGCCAGAGAGAGTACAAGCAAGTCAGCAGTCAGCCTTTCCTGTAACCTCATCTCAGGTGTGACATCCCATCACTCCTGGAAAAAGTGAAAGTCGCTCAGTCATATCCAACTCTTTGCGACCCCATGCACTATGAAGTCCATGGAATTCTCCAGGCCAGAATACCGGATTGGGTAACCTTTCCCTTCTCCAGAGACTCTTCCCAACCCAGGGATGGAAAACAGGTCTCCTGCATTGCGCGCAGATTCTTTACCAGCTGAGCCACAAGGGAAGCCCAAGAATGGTGGAGAGGGTAGCCCATCCCTTCTCCAGCAAACCCTCCTGACCCAGGAATCAGACCGAGGTCTCCTGCATTACAGGTGGATTCTTTCCCAGCTGAGCTATCAGAAGCCCATCACTCCTGGGGGCAGGGGTTAAAAGCAAGTTTCTGGGCCCGGCCCACGCTCCAGGGGAAGGGATCTCACCAGGGTGTGAATCCCAGGGACAGGAATCACTGGAGCCAGTTTGAAGCTTCAAACTATGGAGCATCTGGGCAGGAAAAGGAGCAGCATGAGAGCAGAGCCGGGGGAGAAGCTGGAGGGGGCAGAGTCTGGAGAGCAGACGTTATCTAGAAGATGAGAGATGTCTGGAGAGTCCGAAGAGCTGAAAATCAGGAATGTCCTTAAGGGCAAGAGTAGTTAGTTAAGTGTGGGGTGGGGGTGGGGAGCATCTGGGGATACGGGAGGATGAAAAAGCTGAGGAGCAGGAATAGCTGATCATGGGATGGGCTGAGGATAGGCAGGGGTGGGATCAGCCAGCTCGCTGCTCCAGTGGAACCCACTGAGGGCTCCAGGTGTCGGAGCCCTCCCAGACCTTCAGCTTCAGGGCAGATAAACTTGCAGGAGGGAAGTGTCTGTGAAGGTGCCCTCAGACTCTGTGCCCAAAGGCGGCATCACTGGTACTCAAGAGATTCTGGGCTCAGGTGGAATCTCGAGTGGGACACTGCCTGCTGCTCCGGGGCTCCCTCCTCCCTGGGCAGTTTTGGAGGGACAGCCCTTAAAACTAGGAGGCACCCGGAGAGTAGAAGGTCCACTGTCCTCCCAGCCCCCTCCGCCGCCACTCCTGACAGTCACAGCTTCTCCCTTCTCCCCCAGCCCCGCACCAGCCTCTTGGGGCACACCCATGCCATCACGCACCCCGGAGCTGGACCAGGTGCCAGTCAAACAGGCCAATATCACAGACGAGCACGGCCAGACTCAGAAAAAGCCAGGGACGGTGGGGCCTGCAGAGCCACCTGCTCCCCTGGGATGCATGGAGGTAGGGCTGATCCCTGCTGGGAGTAGGCAGCCGGCAGACCCTAAGATCCCAAGAAATCTCATGAAGGCCATGCACCTTGTTCTGCCCAGTCCTCTCTGGCAGCAAGAGACACTGACCCTCTCCTGGCCCCAGGCCATCTCTGAGCCTCCCCAACTGGGGGTCAAGCACAACAGCCCACTCACCAGCCTGTTCACAAGGATGCTGGTTCCATTCAGGCAGCAGCATTCAGCCCGAGACACTCTGGAACCAGAGGGTGAGGGGGCCTCCGGACCACCTACTCTGACCACCCCTACTCTCCTGCCCTCTCAGCAATTCTCACCCTGCTTCTCTTTCACTATATTCTTGGAGAACAGACAGGAACCCTTGCCTGAGACAAACCTTCCCCAGGAACATGGTGCATAAGAGGGACTGCTTTAAGTGGGAGTAGAGGCCCAGAATCCACGAGCTTTGCCCTCCTCAGCATCCACCCACCTTCCCTGCCACCTTCACAGTGGTTTCTAAGAGGCAGCGAAGGTCAGTGGTTAGGAGCATGGACTCTGGAGTCAGATAGCCTGGTTTTCCCAGTTTGTGTCTGAGTAAATCAAGCAAGTTGAGGCACAGCTAAACTCCATTCTCTTATCTGTAAACTGGAGCTAGTAATAGTACTGGGTTAGCCAAAAAGTTCATTTGGGTTTTTCCATAAGATGCTGTGGAAAAACCAAAACAAAATTTTGGCCAACCCATACCTGCCCCCTCTGACTATGGGGGAGAATCAGTGAGTTCATGCAGGCAAAGCACTTGGAACATGACCTGCATGTGTTTAATGTTTAATAAATCTTAGAGAAATAAAAAAGTTTTTTAAGAAAAGTTTGAAAACCTCTTGTGCCACGGCAAAGAGTCAAGGGTTTCCATGTGGGTGGGCCCAAGTCTGACTCTCAGCTTTACGATCAGATGCCACTGGTTGAGGACATACCCTCCCAGGGCCTCAGTTTCCACATCTGAGCAGTGGGTGGAACTCACTCACTCTAAGGACTGTGCACAGAATTCGCTGACCCAGGCCTGCTAAGGGTGAGCAGTGCCAGGTCCGTGTGTGCGCAGTAACTGTGTGTACATCACCCCCACTGCTTCCCCATGGCCCAGAAATCCAAGATCTCCACCTTCGAGAAGATGTGGGCCTTCATGAGCAGCAAACCTTCGGCGCTGGTGAAGAATAACGAGGAGGGCATCCAGCGGACGCTGACGGCCGACTACGCGCTGCTCATGGAATCGACCACCATCGAGTACGTCACCCAGAGGAACTGCAACCTCACCCAGATCGGGGGCCTCATCGACTCCAAGGGCTATGGCATCGGCACGCCCATGGGTGAGCACAGGGGCTGCAGACGGGAGGGCGGCGGGGGACAGAGGGTGGGCAAGACCCCCAGGTTCACTCTTGCGCACACGTGGCCTCCTGCTCCCTCTCCCAGATCACCCCCTGAGCCTTGAAAGGGCTCAGCCCAGAAACAAAATGGCAGAGCCACAAGCCTCATGAGGTCAGCGCCACTCTGAGCAGAGGAGACCTGGGGGTGGACACAGAGATGGGGGTCAATTCAAGGTCATGCCTCCTCTCTCTGACGTCATTCTGCTGAGGCAGCTCAGATATCCTGGGCCTTCCAGAGGCCTGCAGGGACAGGGATTCATAGGCAAGACTCTCCACCCTGGATCCGTGGAGACACTTTTGATGGATTAAAAGAGGGGCCTCCTGGCACTGAGGGCCCCCTTCGGAGGAGTGTGCTGAGAGGGCTAGTGATGGTGGCTAGCCCCCGCCAGGGTATTGGCAGGGATGCAGATGGGCTGAAGGCTGCTGATGGCCAAGGGCCCCTCTCCCCCACCCAGGCTCCCCGTACCGGGACAAGATCACCATTGCGATCCTGCAGCTCCAGGAGGAGGACAAGCTGCACATCATGAAGGAGAAGTGGTGGCGGGGCAGTGGGTGTCCCGAGGAGGAAAACAAAGAGGCCAGCGCCCTGGGCATCCAGAAGATCGGGGGCATCTTCATCGTCCTGGCCGCCGGCCTGGTCCTGTCTGTGCTGGTGGCTGTGGGCGAGTTTGTGTACAAGCTCCGCAAGACCGCAGAGCGAGAGCAGGTAAACCTCCAAGAACTGGAGCGGGCATGGGGAAGGGACGGAACAGATCAAGGACCGCACTGGCTTCAAACTCCTTGGGAGCCAGGTGCACGGTGGTGTCTGATCCCACCTACCCGCCAGTAGCCCACTCTGCAGCCCATTCACCAGGAAGCCCTACCAGCCCCACTCTGCATACTGTCCCATCATGCTGGCCCCATGCCAGGCCGTGCCCATCATCCCCAGCTGGACCACACACTAGCCTCTGGTCGGCTCTTCCTGCCTCCTCCCTTCCTCCCCACCAGCTGCTCTCCATACAGCAGCCAGTGCCCTGTTTAAAACTTAATTCGAAGCATGTCGTTGCCCCGCATAAAGCCCTCCAGGGTAATTGTGGATGCTTCATGATGCTTATACATGGGGGTTCATTATACTGTTCTCTCCACTTCTGCATATATTTGGAAATTTCCATAATCAAAAGTTTAACAGAGAAAAAGAGTTAAGAGAGCTAGCCCAAGCTTGCTAGGTTCAACCCATCTGATTAATTCACGTGTGGTTGGGCAGTGGTTCTAGGTCCCAGTAGCAAATTGGAATCACAGGGAGAAAGTGTTTTAAGTGCTAATACCCTGGCCTCACTCCCAGAGACTGTGGTTTAATTGGTCTGTGGTGGCCCAGGATTGGCTTCTTAAGAAAGTGTACAGAGTGATTTAAATGTGCACCTTGAGTGGAGGGCCAGTGGTCTGTGGGGAAGCTCCTCTCACAGAGAAGTTCAAAGGGAGACAGGGCAAGTGTGGAAGGAGATTGCGGTTAAGCCTTATGTATACACAAGATGCACTTAGACATCTATCCAAAATTCAGTGGAGTCCTTTATAATCAGTAAGCCTGAGTGAGCAAAGAGGAAGGGCAACGATAATTCTTGATGTTCAAGTTCACATAGGTGTGAGAAAAGGGACATGGTACCATATTGCCCAGGGGGAGTCCAAGAGGGTAAGTTTCTGGAAGGTAACTCTGCAGTATGGCCAGAGTCTTTAAAGGAGGCCACATGTTTTGATTAGTCAATTTCTACTTTTAGAAATGCACCCAATGGAAGTGGCCAAAACATGTGCAATTTTATTGACAAGAATGTTCATTGAATTGTTAATTGAAATGTGGAAAAAACATGTGAGAAAACCTAAATGTCCAATAATTGGGAATGGTTTTAAAAATTATGATTCATCTAAGAAGAACAATCAAATCCTTTAGGTTACATTAGAATTACATTACAATTGAAATGAGCCCCAAATTCCATTACAAAGCCTATAGGATCTAGTCCTTACCCACCTCTCCAGCCTCCTCCTTCCCACCCTCCCCTCTGTTACTCTACTCCACCCACACTGGTCACATTTTTAGTCCCTAACCAGCCAAGCACATTTCTGCCTTAGGGCCTTTGCACATGCTGTTCCAGCACCCTGCACTGTGCTTCTCCCAGAGCCCCATTTTCTTAGAGTCTTTTGGTCATTTAGCTGAAGCTCAAGTAGTCTTTCCCACCTATCCCCACTCCCCACCCCACTCTATCCTATTTCAATGCTTTATTCTCTTAATAATAGTTATCTCTTTCTGAAACTATTTATTTGTTCACGTGTTTACTATCTGTTTCTATCCCATCATCAGCGTTCCCTGAGTGCTAGGACCTTTTCACTGCTGTGCGCCTAACACTCAGAACACCAGTGCCTGGCACAGAGTTCAGTTCAGTTCAGTCGCTCAGTTGTGTCCGACTCTTTGCGACCCCATGAACCGCAGCACGCCAGGCCTCCCTGTTCTTCACCAGCTCCCAGAGTTTACTCAAACTCATGTCCATTGAGTCAGTGATGCCATCCAACCATCTCATCCTCTGTTGTCCCCTTCTCCTCCCGCCTTCAATCTTTCCCAGCATCAGGGTCTTTTCAAATGAGTCAATTCTTAGCATCAGGTGGCCAAAGCATTGGAGTTTCAGCTTCAACACCAGTCCTTCCAATGAATATTCAGGACTGGTTTCCGTTAGGATGGACTGGTTGGATCTCCTTGCAGTCCAAGGGACTCTCAAGAGTCTTCTGCAACAGTTCAGAAACATCAATTATTCAGCGCTCAGCTTTCTTTATAGTCCAACTCTCACATCCATACATGACTACTGGTAAAACCATAGCCTTGACTAGATGGACCTTTGTTGGCAAAGTAACACCTCTGCTTTTTAATATACTGTCCAGGTTGGTCATAGCTTTTCTTCCAAGGAGCAAGTGTCTTTTAATTTCATGGCTGCAGTCACCATCTGCAGTGATTTTGGAGCCCAAAAAGATACAGTCTATCACTGTTTCCACTGTTTCCCCATCTATTTGCCATGAAGTGATGGGACCAGATGCCATGATCTTAGTTTTCTGAATGTTGAGAAGCCAACTTTTTCACTCTCCTCTTTCACTTTCATCAAGAGGCTCTTTAATTCTTCTTCACTTTCTGCCATAAGGGTGGTGTCATCTGCATATCTGAGGTTATTGATATTTCTCCCNCCCTGGCTACCCTATCTGAGGGTCCAGCTAGCTACCCACTGCAAGTAGAGCGGCAAGAAGAAGGCTTTGCTCTCTTCCATTCCCAGAGCTCAGTCCCAGCAATGGAAGCCTCTTTCATTAGGCCCATTTATACCCTTCCTGGACTTCCCTGGTGGTCCAGTGGCTAAGACTCATGCTCCCAAAGCAGGGGGCCTGGATTCAGTCCCTAGTCAGGGAACTAGATCTTACATGTTACAATTAAGACCTGGTGCAGCCAAATAAATACTAAGAAATAAATAAAAATAAATACACCCCTCCCAACTTTTGATTTCTCCCTTTGCATCATATACTGAATCCACTGCCTTCATAAATCCTTAGTTTTTCCACCACATGAGCCTTGGGTAAAGGATGACTTCTGGGCAGCTAAAAATTTCAGCTTTTGTTTATCTTTGGCTGAATGCTGGACATGGCATTTGTAAAGTATTTGTTGAAATAATTTGATGTCAAAAATAATGTTATTTTCCTCTGAAGAAGATTTGATTTCCCTTTGCAAAGGACCTTGGGGAACTAGCAATCCAAGTTCACATTAAATCACATTAATTCAAATACAGGGCTCTTTACAAGGCAACTGAATTTTGCAGTTAGGAGTTTATGATCTGAGCCATGGTCAACTCCTTGTCTTGTTTTTGCTGACTGTATAGAGCTTCTCCATCTTTGGCTGCAAAGAATATAATCAATCTGATTTCAGTATTGACCATCTGGTGGTGTCCATGTGTAGAGTCATTTCTTGTGTTGTTGGAAGAGAGTGTTTGCTATGACCAGTGCATCCTCTTGGCAAAACTCTATTAGCCTTTGCCCTGCTTCATTCTGTACTCCAAGGCAAAATTTGCCTGTTACTCCAGGTATTTCTTAACTTCCTACTTTTGCATTCCAGTCCCCTATAATGAAAAGGACATCTTTTTTTGGTGTTAATTCTAGAAGGTCTTATAGTTCTTCATAGAACCATTCAACTTCAACTTCTTAAGCATTACTGGTCAGGGCATAGACTTGGATTACCATGATACTGAATGGTTTGCCTTGGAAACGAACAGAGATCATTCTGTCGCTTTTGAGATTGCATCCAAGTACTGCATTTCAGACTCTTTTGTTGACTACGATGGCTACTCCATTTCTTCTAAGGGATTCTTGCCCACAGTAGGAGATATGATGGTCATCTGAGTTAAATTCACCCATTCCAGTCCATTTTAGTTCACTGATTCCTAACATGTCAACATTCACTGTTGCCATCTCCTGTTTGACCACTTCCATTTGCCTTGATTCATGGACCCAACATTCCAGGCTCCTATGCAATATTGCTCTTTACAGCATTGGACTTTACTTCTACCAGGCACATCCACAAGTGGGTGTTGTTTTTGCTTTGGCTCCATCCCTTCATTCTTTCTGGAGTTATTTCTCCACTGATATCCAGTAGCATATTGGGCACCTACCAACCTGGGGAGTTTATCTTTCAGTGTCACATGGACCACAGCCCTGTCTAACTCAATGAAACTATGAGCCATGCCTTGTAGGGCCACCCAAGACAGACAGGTCTTGGTGGAGAGTTCTGACAAAACGTGGTCCACTGGAGAAGGGAATGGCAAACCACTTCAGTATTCTTGCCTTGAGAACCCCATGAACAGTATGAATAGTATGAAAATGGCACAGAGTAGGTCTCAGTAAATAGTCACAGAATGAAGAAGGGGAGGTAAGGAGGGAAGATGTCCTGCATTTAGTGGGAGAGCAAGAAGAAGCTTGGTGAGGTCACACAGAGGGTAAGAGGCAGAGTCAGAATTCAAAGCCAAGTCCCTGTTCCCCAGCACCACATGACCTAACTACAACCTGTCTGAGTGCTGATGCCCAGGCCTCCCTAGGCAAGTTGAGATAACGACAGCCCGCTGCCTTCTCGACAAGCCATGGGACAGCCTCTGGCAGCTGGTCTCATAGAAGCCACTGCCATCAGATACCTGTGGGCAGTGCTGCACTTGAGCTGTCCCTCTTGGATACCCACAGGGACCTAAGCCAGAAAAAGCCCTACAGGGACCTGCCTCCCCATTGAGAAATCTGTACTAGACTTTCCTGAATGGGAGCAAAGCAACTCCTCCCTTCAGTGGGAACCCCTTTCAGAGAGGTTATCCATATATTCATCAAGTGTTTCTTAAGCCCTGACTCTGAGCCAGGCCTAGAGCTGGAGGCTGGGCTCATAGGATGAAACTGGCTGGTTCCTGCCCTCAGAAGTTAGTGGAGAAAAGTCAGGCAGGTAAACTACTCAGACTTTAATGTGCCACAGTTTGTTCATCAGTCAAATGGGGCTAAGATGATATCACCTTAGATCCCAAACAAGGACGTGATGCTTTGTAGGCTGCTCTCCAAACCACCTGGGCATCCCTGGTGGCTCAGTGGTAAAGAACCCACCTGCCAGTGCAGGAAATGTGGTTCATCCCTGGGTAGGGAAGATCCCCTGGAGAAGGAAATGGCAACCCACTCCAGTATTCTTGCCTGTGAAATCCCTTGGACAGAGGAGCCTGGCAGGCTACAGTCCATTGGGTCACAAAAGAGTTGGACGTGACTTAGCGATGAAACAACAACAACCCCAACTAATCACCTTGCAGGGGGCAGAGGGCAGGTGGCATACAGGTGTGAAGGAAAGCCAGGGGCCTCAGCACAAGCTCTGGGAGGAAGGGGAGGAGTTGGCTGGAGTTGCATGGCCGGGCCTCACCCCTGTGCTCCTTCCCCTCCCACCCGCCACCCCAGCGTTCCTTCTGCAGCACCGTGGCCGATGAGATCCGCTTCTCCCTTACCTGCCAGCGTCGGGTCAAGCACAAGCCGCAGCCTCCCATGATGGTCAAGACTGACGCCGTCATCAACATGCACACATTCAACGATCGCCGGCTTCCGGGCAAAGACAGCATGACCTGCAGCACATCATTGGCCCCCGTGTTCCCCTAGGCACAGGTGGGGTGGGGACTGCCGGCCTGGGGGCAGGGTGGAGAAAAGCAAAGGAGACTGGAAGGAACACCCCCAAGCACCACGCTGGACTTGGGGACCAGAGCTGCTGCCTGCCTGTTGGGCCAGGAGCCCTCTGCCCTTACCTATCAGGAAACCAGCAGGCCCCCAGGCCAGCTGCTTGGGCTTCACCCTCCTCTTGTTTCTTCTATGGGTTTCTAAAGCTGCCAGCCAAGACAGCCAAGGCCAAAGGAAGCACATGCCTCTCTCAGGCCAAATTCACCTGCCCCTCAACTCTCTTCTATAGTCAGAAGTTTCTACCATGGCCCTGCAGGGTCCAAAGACAACAGGAAACAGCTCTCATGTTGCCGCTCCTTCCCCATGGGGGCAGGCCTCCTGTAACTTGACTATGAGATCAGAGACGTAGACCCTGGGTACCAAAAAGGATGTTACTGTTCGGCTGCCAATGGGAACTGAAGCTGAAGGACAGCTACCCCACATGCCTGGTCAGAAGGAAGAACTCATCCCCCAGGGGCTGCTCACATGGTCCTGATCTCCTGGACTTGACACCACCCATGGTGGAGCCCCTGTTTGGGCAAAGTTAAAGGCAGGAGCCCCACAGGGGAAAAAGAGGAGTTTGGAGTCTGGGGGAGAGGAGGATGCACAGAGAATGCTAGTTTGAACTCTTCTGGACAATGTCCCAATGGGTCCCGCTCCTCTAGAAGGTCTCTAGGAGTGGGAGAGTGGTCAGAGCAAATTCACCTCCCCGTTGTGACCAGAGGAGAAAGGGCCCTCAGAATCTCCTGCAAAGGATGCCCGGAGACTCGGCCAGAGGAACAGTGGATTCCATGGAAATCCCAGAGGCCCTCGAGCCATTGGATTTTATCTTGCTGGTTAGCAAGCTGTTTCCTAAACCCCGGTGGCATTAGGACGCTTGAGCTCTTTGCCATCTACTCTTCAGCGACTCCCCATTCCTGGCCTGTTGACCTTGACCATCTTCTGTCATCATGGAAGGAGGAAAGTAGCCTAGATTGAAGTGAACATTGTCACCTATCCTCCAAGGAGGATCAAGTCCACTGCACAGGCTCACTTTGGGGTAGATGGGGAAAGCTGGATTGGCGGGGCACATAAGGAACTCCATGCCTCCTGGACTTGCCAAACCTTAAAGATGCCCCCCAGAGAAAGAAAATTTCCAGGGGGCAGAACAGTCTCCCTGGTAGAGGCCCCTGGGGTGGGGAGGAAGAAGCTGCCTCCTGGAGGATTAACCAAAGACCCCACACAGAGATACACGGTCGTAATGGCCCTGGTCTCTTGTCCAGAGGAGCTGGGACCTTGTGGGGTTTGGGGGTTCAGCAGAGAAGGGGTAGCAGACGAGGTGCAGTGAGCAGTGGACCAGGTGATCCGTGGGTTCCAGCCAGCTGTGACAGATACTCTAGGTCTGAGACGCGTAAGATTCTGGGAGGAGAATGAGATGTGGAGGGATTAGGAACAAAGTGTCCTTAAAGAGAGCACGATGAGGCCAGCAAGGCTGCCCGTGGCCAAGGGCAGAGGGCAGGCTTTGAGCCAGGGAAAGGGGGCTGGAGATCTGTATAGAGACCAGAAGACACCAGCCGCCCACCCCCCTACCGCTCTTCTGTTTCTGCCTGGGGACCCTGGTTAGGAAAAGAGCTACATTTAGTTCTCAAGAAGCTTCTCAGCTGGGGTGAAGGGTAACCTCTAACTCTCCTCAAGAGTCCCAAAGCAGGAGCGCACAGTGGACGCATGTGATAACTATCGTCTTCTCCAGACTGAGCTGTGGGGCCAAATCAGCTGGTTCCCAGGGCCACAGCAGTTCTGCCAGGCTGTGTGCACTGGAGGTGGGAGAAGAGGGATGGAACGCCACGTGGCCAACACACATCATGATAGGAAAAGCCATGCTGTTGTGAGCTCCTGGATGTAGGAGTGTATGTGTGTCTGTGTGTGCGTGCGCATGTATGTGTATCTTTGTATGTCTGATCTTTGGGGGCTGGGCATGAAGGATAAATGAAGGCATGTGACAGAGTCCCAGGCATGCAATAATAGGAGAACCCTTTGGGTTCTGATGTGTGTGTGTGTGCACGTGTGTGTGAATTTGGGGTGAAGGAGATAAATCTGGACAAGCAGCAGGACCCCATACATGTAAAAACAGGAGAAGCCATGCCATATTGGGGTTCTGGTGAGTATACATATGTATACATACGTGAACAACTGTGTGTGCTTGTGTGTGTGTGTGTGTGTGCGTGTGCGCATGCACTTTTGTGCACCTAATGGCAGAGGGTGGAGGACAAGATAAAATATGTTTTAATGGAGAAGCTAAATAAGTTTAAATGGAGAAGCCATGTCATCAAGGGGTCCGTTTGTGAGCACGTGTGCATGTGCGTGTGCGGTGGAGGGCGGGAGGGAAGACAGACTGGATGGATGCACAGCACAAGGGAATGCATGTTGTATGTGAGGAGCCACATGGGCCTGGAGTTCGTGTGTGTGTGTGTGTTCACGTATGGGTGTTCAAACGTGCACATATGTTCCAGCTCACAATAGGAGCAGAGATGGACAATCAGGAAGGGAACTAGAGTCTGGGTACACTTCTGCCATGGAGAGAGGTCATTTGCCACAAGGATTTGCTAAGATTACATAGGCCTGAGGAGACAGGCCAAGTAGGGACTAAACCCTGCAGGCAGTCACAGCCAGTGACTCCTTTGCTTTCTGTGGAGTGTCCTATTTGAAGGGAAAATGACTGTTTTTGGCAATTTCCAGATAACCAGATTCTGATGAAGGTATTTGCCAATTTTTTCTCACTGATCACAGACATGAGCCACTCTCTTTCTTTATCCGGTCTACTTTCATAGCACACGCCCACATCCATGTTCGTATCACACACCCAACCGTGTGTGTGCTTTCGTGACACGCCATGAACGTGTCATTTCTTCTGAGGCTATGCACATATATAGACTGCAATGGCAGGAAGACTAGGAGGTGGTGGGGTAGGAAGAGCTTCATCAAACGAGAGGAGGAAGGTGGAACTCAGCGGCACAATTCCATTAGGGAAATCCCCCGAAAGGGACTGAAATGATTTCTCAAGTCCTACATGGAGATAGGAGGACACGCAGCCTGATATCACCTCCCATTCGAGCCTTACATCCGTGTGTGGATAATGGTTCAAACTCTGCCTGATGACCTGTGTTTGTCTCTGAGACCAGCCCAGCATTCAGAGTGCAGCGGAGGTCGCTTCTCTCCGAATGTGAGCTCTGTCCCAGGGGCCTGAAGGTGCTGCTGCGTCTTGGGGTAGGGGCCCGGGGAACTATTCCAAGCAAGGTGGGTCGAGTGGAAATAATGTTCAGGCCCACCTGCCCGCGGATATGGATCTGAGCCACGGCGAGTGTGCATGCGCACACATGGAGGCACTGAGGTCAGTGGCAGCTCAACACTGGTTTGGATAGAGCAGAGGATGGGACTGGCCCAAGCAGGCGCTGGACAGTCCCTGCCCAGCACGTACCGGCCTGAAGAGAAGAGCACCCCTACCTTCCACCTCCATCCCCCACCTCGAAATGCCAGTGCCTCCCCTCAGCCTGCTCCAACTGGCCAGATTAAAGGGCAGCACTGGGGACATACACACCCTGCCAAGGCCCTGGGGAGCGGGGCCTTGAGGCCTCATTTTCTCTCTCCCCTTGACCTGTTACTGGTCCATCTTCTGTGGACAGATAAGAAAAACCTGAGAACTTTGTCACCATTCAACGGGCCCCACGCTGGGCACGTGTCTCGAGATGGGTAAGGCCCCCTTGGCCGAGGAGCTGACTCTGAATCTCTGAAGGGTGGGAGCACCTCCCCTGCTCACAGCCAAGACTGTCTCCACTAGCCAAGCACACGGGTTCCCCGCAAGGCCCCGGGCACGGGCAGAGGGCAAGTCCAGCCCTGGATGGAGGAGGGCTCTGGCAGTGGCGAGAAGGCTCCAAGCGGTTAGAAGTCACTCCCTCCCCAATCCCCAGGAAAGCAGAAGTCAGACCCAGGCACCCGCTCACCCAGAACAGTGGGACGCTCCCTCCCCGACATCTCCTCCCAGGTGGGTGTGCTGGGTGTGGGCTGGTGGCTGTGGCTTCATCACTCAGCATGAAGCCCATCCCTTCCCAGACCCTTCCCAGCTCTCTGCTCCGGCCCACATCTCTGGTCCTGTGTGGACAGCCATCTGGGAAGGGCTTAGCGATCTGGACAAACAGCTGTATGGACTTAAACTCTGAGATGGGCCCGGCCCTGTGGACAGACTCAAGAAGTGCACCCAGTTCTGTAGACAGGCCTCTGGACTAGACCCATCTGGAAAAGCCCCGGGCTGGGAGGACCCATCTGGAACGGGCCCAACTGCTTGCCCCAGTAGAAGGGTCCCGCCCTCGGTACCCCGGCCAGCCTGAATGGAGCCTTCCTTTCCGTCCTGGCTTTGCCCTGGAGTTAGAAGTTCAGAGCTGAGGCCATACGTGAAAGTCACAAAACTGGTTTTGGTAGAAGGTTAAAGTTCTGTACAGTATATATATGAATGTAAAAAGATATATATATATATGCTGTATATATATATATATATGCACAGTGTATATATGACCTGTAGCCCGTGTGTATACGCACCCCTCCCCGCACGTCTGCACACAGAGTATACATAACCCAGCCAGTGTGGGTGGGGACCAGGTGAGCAGCGGGGGCTGCAGCTGGAGAGTCTAGGATGGAAGCTGCCTGGGGCAGGGGCTGCGGAGAGCCCTCTGGGGGACGGGCAGGGCCCATGCATGTCAGAGCTGCAGACCCTGAGGAGGAAGGGAGAACTGAGGGGCTGGCAGGTAGGCCTCCTGAGGACGACAGGAGTGGCCCACAGGCCTTGTCTGCATCTGAGAGGCTCTGAGGATTGCCGGGCCTCTGTCTGGGGGGCAGCATTGTACAGTACTGGGCTCCTGAGCCAATACGACAGCTGCAGTCCCAGGGCAGTTAGCAGGGAGCTGGAAGGGCTGGGAAAGAGGGGGCCACTCCCTGGACCAGCTCTCAATACCTGTCTGCCCAGCCGCCAGGGATGCTCCACGTGGAATACCCTAGAAGGCTGAAGTATGGCAGAGGCCATTGCCTCACATTCTCAACCACACACAAAGACGACCCAGCTCCCAGCTAAGGAAAACCCTTTTTCAGGAGAATGGCCCCCTGCATGCCAGTCAGACATCCCCGGCCCCTGTCTTCTAGAACAGACCTCAAATCACCCCGCAGCGTGTCTATTTTATAGATCAAAACTTTGAGGCCTCCAGATGTAAGAAAACAGCTGTGGACCCAGCAATTCCAGCCTTGAGTTCGTCCCACCCCAGACAATCTCCCCAGCCCATTTGACTGCAAGGTCCGCTGTCAGGGAGTGACTGGAGAGCCAGAGGTGTGAGCAGAGCAGTGACGGGGGGTGAAAGAGGGCAAGCCAAGAAGGCGGTCTGAGCACACCTAGTGGCATCTGTCCGCCCTCTCCCCTGCCACCCCTCCCCTGCAGGGCAGCTGGCATAGAGCTTGGCCCTGCCCCTGCAGACCTCCGTCCCTACCACACTTGGATCCTTCTGTTCTTTCCCTTCTAACCCTTCAGCAAGTGGTTTGGCTCCATCATCATGCAAGAGCATCTCTGGACCACGTGGGAAAGGGTCTAGAGTGGGCTTTCGTGTGGTCAGCGGTCTGCCCTCTGCTTCAGCCCCATGCATCAGACTGGTCTGCACTTAACTCTGGGTCTGCCTCTGTTTGGGGTCCTGGCCGGAGCATATCTGAACCCAGCCCCCTGAGGATGGGTCTGTCCTGCCTCTAGGACAGGAATCAGAGGCTCCAGGGGCCCCCTTGCCACTGTGCTCCAAGCCCCCAGCCCACCTCCGCCTGTGCCAGCTTCCTGGCTAAGCCTCCCACGATGGGGACTTGGGTTCCCAGCCCCTTGGTGAAGCCCCAAGATAGCACCATGTGAGACCCCTGGTCTGTCCCACCACCCAGACCAGAGTGCCTGGACGCCCCCTACCCCAATCCTACTCAATATAGTTCCCACACACTGGTCTCTGGGCCATTCAGGGGATGCCCTTTGTGGACATGCAGAATTTCTATGAATATAGTTTTTTGTAAACATTTTGTAACAATTTGGGTTTCATAGTAACTGTGTTACTTGCCAATCATTCTAGGCTGATGTAAATAAATTTCCAAACAAATCTGATTATTTTCCTTTTTAAGACACTGTGATATATCAAAGTGCACAGTTTGCTGTATGAAGTAATATGGTTTTAAATTTTAAATAAAGAAATGTTTCTAGAAAACAGGGCCCTCTTGAGATGCATTTTCTGCTTCTCTTGTCTCTTTAGAACCAGAGGGTGCTGCAGTTGTGCCATCTTCACCCAAGGTTGACTGTGTCCTGGGCAGGGGCCCCGGGGGGTGAGCAGGTGGGTGACTCCAGCCCAGGCTCCTGGTCCCCATTTCAGATGTTTACATGGGACATCAGTATTGACATCACCTGACCTCCATCTTCCCTTCTCTTGGGCACGTTCCTCTCCATCTCCTCTCCATCCCATAGCTACCTTCGAAGTCTCCACGTCCCTGTGTGATCCTGCCCCTTTGGCAACAGCTGAGGAAGCAAGGTAAGCCTCTTTTCCAGAGCTGGCCAATCAGAGGTCTTGCCTGAGCTTTTTCAAACTAGAAATTGGAGAGTGCTCAGTCAGTTACTCTTGGGTGATGGAAACTGTACACATAATAAAGGGTTCAGGGCAGGACACTTTAAGCAGGAAGAGGTTGAATACAGATGTTTACAAAACCAGTGAAAGATAAGGGAGCGAGGACATGCTGGGCCTCCAGTGGCTCTCAGAACAGTACAGAGGTGACCCACTAGAGGAGTGACCCCTCCAAGACCAGTACTAGAACTGGGAGGCAAAACACACCAGATAACTATGCCCTCAATGTCAAGGCCTCCCTTCCCTTTGACCTTGGTCATCTCACCCTACCCAGAACCCTCCTGCTCCAAGTTCTGAAGACCTAGGCCCAATACAATAGCAGCACAGAGCTGGACCTGTCCCCATTTAACCCTTCACCTGCCCTATCTGAAACACTTATGAATTCCACCTCCCACTGCACTGCCCTACTCCTCTGTCTTATCTAACCCCAGAATGTGTAGGTTGGAGTGGACACAGATCACTCAGCATCCCTCTGCTTAGGCCTGATGACAAGCCCCACCAAGCAGTACAATCAAGGAGGCCGAGGTGAACTTGCTAGGCTCTGCCCACCCGCACCCCACCCACCTACCCCACCCCTGCTGTGTCCTTTTCAAGCTTCAGTCTCCTTGCCTGCAGAGAGGAGAGGCTAAGATCCACCTCCGGAGGTTGTCATAGGGATTCGATGACATTGTAGCTGCCTTGCACTGCTACATTCATCATTTTCTCCTGGAGGGAAAGTAACAAATGACTGGAACCCTCCCCAAATATTCCAAGAGTCAGAGTAGCCCAGGAACAGAGAAATCAAAGATGGCCAAATACTCACCTTTGTTCAACTTCAAAGAGCTGGGTTCTTGTCTCAAATCCAAAACATCTGGAAGGATACATGATCCCATCACCCTTCCACCACTTCCCCAATTAGGCCCAAGATTCCACAGTCTGGAGGAGGGAAATGGGGGAGGGACGGCCAGACGGAAACAGAGTCACGTGTGGAGGGATCCCCCGGTTGCCAGTGCTAGCCAGCTCCAGGGACTGGACCCTAGTCTCCACCTGCACAAAACTGGTACAGACCTGGGGACATGTGCCACACTCGGACATCCTTCTCAGCACCTCCATAAAGACATCTTCCTTAGCAGCCAGGTGATGCCCCCTGGCCATCTTGCATGAGTGAAGAGCCATTTGTAGCCTGAGAGCTCCCCAGCCCACGTGGCTGAGTTCTCTTTCACTGAATCAAGAAATCAGAGATCTGTCTTGAATACTGAGAGGGAGGGTGGTGGTGTGTTGAGTCACCTCCCCACCTCCAGCCAAGTGAGACTGGACTAGAGGTTTCCCTCTGAGTAGTGGAAAAATCCCTCTCCACTGTTTTATTCATCACCGTCATCAGTATTGTTGTGGTGGCTGTCATTTCTGCTTCCCAGGCGGTCATCAGGAAGCCCTGGTGTCTTGGAGTTGATAGGCCAGGGTGGGTCTGGAGCAGGTTCTGGTTAGGCTCCTTTTGGGCCTCTAGGTCTGGGGAAGTCCCATCCCAGATAGCTAGACCCTCAGTGTCGAGGGCTCCCTTCCCTTTAACTCTGATCATTTCACCCTGCCCAGGACACAGAGTTCTGAGGCCCCTCGAGCTGGCTTTCACTTCCTATAGGTCCCTACCATCCTCCAGGTCAGGGACACACCCTCCCTCCTGATATCTCCCATGGCAAGGGCCTCCGATCACTCATGTCCAGAATCAGGGACAAGCTTCAAGGCCCTTCTGCCACCTTAATTTGAGCAGGTGATCTTGGACCATTCACAAACCTTAGCTTCTCTCCGATGCAGTGTGAATGCCCATTTTGACTGCCTCATGTAAGAATGAAAGAAAAAGCTCCCATGAAAGCACGTGTTAAGTGTGAGGCATCAGGCTCACTATCTGGGAGGGTCCTTCTCTGCTCTTCTGTCAGTTCCCCTTCTCTCACATCTGCCCAGCCCCCAGGTCCAGCTGGAATGCGCGTGGAGCAGGAAGAGGTGAGGGACCAGGCACTCCTGGGACTGCAGTTTGCCATTCCAAGACGCAGGCCGGGGCCAGGGCATGCAGCTCCCCCGGGGCCTTGATGGCACTTCCTTGGGAAACAGAAGCTGAGTGTTTAAGAAGCATCTGTCATTATGGAAACAAAGTTGCCAGGCCATTTTTTCTTTTACTATTTTTACTGCGGTTTCATTATCTTATGCAAATGAGGCCGCTGATGAAGCCTTTCTGCAGGGTGGCCCATGCTGGGACCAGCTCCACCGAAGGGATTTATTGCCTGCCTCAGCCTCCAGACTAGATCTGGGATGAGGAGGCCTTATGGAGGTGGCTTCCGGAGCAGCTGCCCCGCCCTGGAACACACGACTTCCTGCCAGACAAGCCCCCAGGTCCTGCCTCTGTCCTAGGAGAGCCCTGGTCCTTTATTGCCAAAGACCGAAGTGTCAGCTCAGCCTGGCCCAGGCCTCTGTCCCCATTTCCTCAATAGCTGGGGCTCCTTGAGTTGCCAATACCCAGCGGGATGCAAGGGAAATGATGGGAAGCAACTGGGGCTCCAACCGTCTAGGCCCTCTGGGAACAGCATAAAATAAGCAACTCAGTTTCCCATTCAATGGGGAGAGAGCTGGGCGATGTACACACCCACCTGGTCTAGGCTGGTCCCCGGAGGCTGGCCATCACACACGTTTCTGGCACACCCTAGGTGCAGGTGGGCTCTGGGGTAGGATAAAGTCTCAGGGAAAGCAATGCAGGTGGTGGCTGCTGATAATTGGGTAGTTTGTGCAGATGTGGTAAGAGCAGGAGATATGTGTAAGACAGTGACAGCATCTGCTACGACCCCATTTTAGAGATGAAAGGCCCAAGGCTCAAAGAAGCCAAATAACTTGCCCACACTCCAGGGCTGTCTGCATCCCCAGCTCAAGGATCCCATGGTGGCTTACTATCTCCTGACTCCTTGCCCCTCCCTCACACATTTTCTCCCAGCTTGAGGTGTGCTGGGCAAGCTCATGTTCTTCCCAGTGAGTCCAGAGGCTCCAGGATGTGGGGAGACTTTCCCCTGAGAGTGCCCATCTTCTGTCCAGTCCCTCTCGCCCCAATCTTTCCCTTTTAGTGTACCATAAGGACCAGCTTCCCCTCCTTCTGCCTAATTTAGTCTTGGAAATTCTCTCAAGTCTAATAAGGCATGTTCAGGCACAAGAGCAGGTCAAGCCTTCAATAAGAGCCTTCTGAACTATGTGGGCACTTCCCTGTATGAGGTGGTCTAACTCAGCCCACATTTCCCAAGAGCTGGGCATCGATGAAATGACGTGAAAAGTTAGAAGTTTCTCGGCCCCACTCACCTGAAGTGGGTATGGAGGGAATAAGGTCACCGCAGTTTCCGTAACCCAAATGCCACTGGCTCTGTGCCCTCTTGCATTACCTTGACTTCCAGTCCCCCACAAAATCTAAGGTAAAGGTGCCCCCTGCACTCAGAATCACCCTCTCATCTGAGGACCAGAGGTGAAGAGCTCTTAGTGCTCAGCTCTTTCTTTTCCAGGAGAAGCTGTCATTCTAATAAAATAATAATAATAACAACAACAATAATAATAATACATTCTAGCTACCTGAGCGACAACTCCAGACCCGGGACAGCATTCAGCACTTTGCATATCTCATCTTACAGAATTCTCACCATAACTCTATGAGCTAGGAGTTATTGTCCCCATCTTACAGATGTGGAAACTGAGGCTAAGAGCAGTAGGATAACTCACCCACAATTACCCACTCAATATCAGAATGAGGCTTTTCAGCTGGGACCTCCACATCAAAGATTTGATAAATGCGTGAATGACTAAATGACTGAGTGAATCAGAAAGCAGTCAATAATCAATGTTGTTTAGAGACACTGGGGAACTTTCCTGCTTATAGAAAAAAAATCCAAAATCGATAGGGCCAAAAATGAGAATTACTAATTACAGCCGCTCACAGGAACGACCTACCATTTATGCCTAATTGCAGTGCAGTCCAATAACAATTATGCACATCAATAAATGTGTCAGATTAACTTGGGTGTAAGCTTTATTTGATTGCAACACTAAAGTTGGTAGTGGCTCAGACTTGGGAGGCTGTGGCCCATCCTTGGGAGCCCATGGTCCCTTCTGGAAGCAAGGTTGGTGATAGAGGGGAAGTGGGAGGTGGGGGCAGAGAGGAACAGATCTCTTCTCTGCCATGGCAGGTCTGTTCTGGCAAGCTCAGGAAAAATAGTTTGGCAGGGGGTCTTTGCGGGGCATGCAACATCACAAAGCCTCCCCTCCCTCCCTCAATGCCAAAGGCAGCTTCCTAATTAGAACATCCATAACCCTCAGCATCTGCTCCAAGAGAATTCAGCTGCTCTAAGATGGAGAAGTCCATTAACTTTATTGCAAAAATGTCGGACGTGCTTTTAGACAGAGGATCACTGCCAAGTGAGATAAACCACCAGGACCTGCCACGGGGACAGGCCAGAACTTCCTGAAGGCCCCAGTTGGGTACCCCTGACTGCCTCCTCTCCCTAGCCAATGCCCTGACTGGGACCATGGCCTCCTGGGAGGCTGGAGCTGGGGAAACTGAATTTCAAATGCAGGTGCAGTCTGAGCACACTGGGTTTCC